AATAGAGAGTTTCAGATTAGTATGGATTTAAGTAGTTTATTTTGTATGAATAATCAGTGAGATTGTATTTAAACCTTATTTATTAAAGCTTTTAAGATACGATTACATCCATAGTATTATCCATCTAAAATATTACATTTATGATTTATGATTATTGAGAAATAAAATTAAAATTCATAGGTTCAAAGTTATTAACGTATTTTTAATTTTCACTTTATTAAATTAAAAAGCTCGTTAAATTCATAATTTAAAAAAAATCTGAAAATATAAAAATCAATGTCTAATTTGATCTTCTATCTTCAAAAACTTTAAAGTTAACTACTTCGTAGTTTGTCAAATTAATTCTTTAAATTATTTATTCAGACAAATCATTTAAAACTAAAATTTGTAAATTGCTATCCTGGTAATTTAGATATATGATAGAATTAAGTAAATCTGAAAAATAAACTAATTCAAAATCAAAAAAATCTCTCTAAAATTATTCTATTTAGCTACCTATGCATATTAAGTTTGATTAAATATTGATTTTTAAAATAGTAAAAATACCATAAAAACCATCATAAGAAAAGGCAATATAATAATCATTTCTTTACTAAAATTGATAAAAGGAATAATTTCCTAAATCTTATTATGAATCAATATTTTATATCTCTATTGATCTATCTTCAAGAAAATTGACTTTCTATTTTTATTATAAAATAAAATAAATTACAACTAAAATAAAATTATATTTTTATTTTTACTTAAAATGAGTTATCAAACCATTAAATTATGTATGAAGTTTAAGACTTATTTTGGAATTATAAGAAAAATTAAATCTATTGATAGCTTATATCAATGGAATTTAATTTTCTATTAATAGCATCATACCAGACCAATGTATTTGAATATGCAGTTGTAGATAAAAAAACAAGTTAATTTATTGAATCTACTTATAACAAATAGTAATCATAGATTGTATTTTCTTAAACAAATAATACTTTTAAGGTTTTAAAATCCATAACAACTAATCTGTTTCCTGCTGTACATCCTCCTTAATCTCCAATTATAAAGCTTTTTCTTTAATCTTCTATCCCCATTTAATATAT